CTATTAATTACATTTCTTTTATAACTAATTGAGACATAGGTACAAAAGTGAGAAAGATGGAGATCAAAAACTAGTTGAAATAGTGAGGATTGGTTTTTGAGCTGGCTTGCTCATCTTTCTCTAGAACTAGAAAGACTTACATACCTAGCTACAGACTCAGCTGGAGTGTATGGGCCTTCCTGCTGGGCTTTGCTCTTATAAAGCTTAGGTCTGGGTGGAGCCAGGGACATCTACTCTCAGCAAGCAGGCTGATTCCAACATGGAGAGAGGACAGCACTGAGCTGCATACACTCAATTCCTTTTTTTCCAACTCAGTAATCAGAGTAGTCACTCTCTGTTTCCTGGGGATGAGTGAGTGGAAGGTGGGACCAGGGCCAAGAGTGTTAAATCCTGCACAGCACTCCTCAGCTGGTGGGCTGATGGGTTACAGGTGGGCCACGACATTTCAATCCCCTCATCCTTGGGCTAAGGATAGTCAGAGGCCCAAGTCTAATCCTTTCAGTCCTGCGTAATCTAACAGGACCCTAATTTTTCCACAGTTTACCCCTATTGACCCAATATAATCATTTTCTGTGTCATGATGGGGAAAATGCTGGGATGTACTGCTCTAAGCAGCGGTCATCTCTGTATTTATACTTGATCTTAGCCAAAAGGTCGAGAAGCGATCATGTCTGTATTTATAGATATGAAGCCAGGACAAAGATAATCACCTGCTCACTAAATATACAGAAAATCCTTCTTCCAACTTCTACCTTTCTTTTCTGCTACCAGTTTCTCTTTCCTAGCCTCACTGGAGGCAACCATTAGTTTGTGTGTATGTGTGTGTGTGCACGCGTGCGTGCGTGTGTATGTGTGTGTGTGTACATATAAATATGTATATATTTACATATATATGTAAATATTCTGCATCCCCTTTTACACAAATCTTGGAATAGGCAAAATGCCTTAACAAACTATCCCCAAATCTCAATGATTTAACATGATAATGGTTTATTTCTTGCTCATGTCCCAATGCAGTATGGCCTTTGGGCCAGTGACGAGAGAACTATAGTCTTCTCCAGTAGCCATTAATCATCCCAACTTCCTTTAACCTACTGGCTCTGCCAGTCCCTAGGGATATGAGCCCTCTGCCAGATGCTGTATATAAGCAACAAAGAAAGGAATAAAGCATGAAAGATTTAGGGGGTTTTCAGGGACCAGGCTTGGAAATAATTTATATTCTTTTTGTCCATATTTAATTGGCTAGATCTCTGTCATATGACTACAAGGAAATGAAGTCTAGGTGTCTGACAAGGATAAAAATGAAATGGGGCATGGTGAGCCCATAGCAATCTTTGTTATATGCACCGGACATGCTGATCTTATACCTTGCTCTTTTGACTTGACAACAAATTATAGAGAGCAACCATTTCAATGCATAGACAGTTTCCCTGGCCTTTCTAAAAGTTATATAGTATTCAGTTGTATGAGTTACACCATAATTTATTTAACCAATTCATGATTTAATTATCCCCAACATTTTTTTTCATTCTTTCATCTGTAGTGAATGCTTTTATCCTTATGTCATTCCATACATGTACAAGCATATCTGTAGGATAAATTCTCAGATGAGATATTGCTGAATCAAATGGTAAGGACATTTAACATTTGGATACCTATTGCCAAATTACCCTATTAAGAGGTTATACAAATTTATATTCCCACTGGCCACTTTATTGTTTAATCCTACTTGTATAAAACATTTCTACTTTCTCCAATTTTGAATGAGTGTAGCTTAAATCCATCTCCACAGGGTCAGAGAGATCTCATAGTCTAGGTAATATCCATCTGCATTAAATTCCTCCTCTATCCCTCAGGAGCTTTGCATTGTCTATTTCTATTTCCCAAGTGTGTCTGGTACCTCCTATCAAAAGCATAACTTAGGGCAAAGGAAAACAAATGCACACTCTTGAGCTGTCTCTAGGTATGTCTCAAAGCTGCCTACCCTGAGCCAGCCAAGTTTTCTTTGAAGTCTCCTATTTATAGTAAGAGCACATACAGACTTTTTGAGATTTTTTGACTATGTCTGCATTTATTTTAATATTTAAAATGTTTCAAATCATCTGCTGTTGAGTATAACTGAAACTCCAGGAAGATACCAGTTTCCTCTGCGGCTTGGTGAATTGGCCCACTGCCCCCAGGGCAGACAAAGGATCATGTTCTGTATGGTGGTGCCCCATGGATAAGCTCCTATCCATCCTTCAAAACCCAGTTCATATGCTGCCTGAACATCAAGCCTCCCTGCAGGGTTAGCAAGCCCAGAATGGTGTTTCTGTCCTACAGAACTCTGAATTACAGCCTAGCCCCATGCCTTTTACTGTGCTTGCACATTATCTTTCCTTTCTTAGCTATAGCCTTCATGAATTCACTGTATCTATCATATATCTTTAAGTACTTTGTAGCAAAGAAGAAACTTATTAAATTTTTAATGAAAAAAGCATTGAAAATGATTGAACACATTATTGTGTTAACCACTTCTGCTTTTCCAAAGGAATCAGGAATTACCAAAATAATAAAATCTACTTCTGAGTCCCAACTCCTCTTAAACACTCCTACATCTTGTTCTAAGTAGTTATGTTAGCCAGCTGTTTCCTCAGAAACTACACATTTAGTCTGCCTATGAATATACACTCAATTCTCAGTGATATGCCTGTCACACTGATTAACACTGAGCATGCCGTTCATTTCTTCTCCTGTCCCTGAAAAATGGGGATAATTGCATTTGCCAGCTACCACTCAGGAGATGTGAAAATAAAAAATTCAGTCCCTCAGTTGTACTAGCCTGCAATTCAGTTGCTTACTAGCTTATGTGGCTAGTGGCTACCATATTGGATAGTACAATTATAGTGTATTTCCATCATCGCAGGAAGTTCTATTGGACAGGGCTGGTCTTTAAGTTCTCTATCTTAGAGGACTAAGGTCTTTAGCTGAAATATTTCTAGCTTTCTGTTTTCACTTGTCTTAGATTTTCCCCCTCAAATTATATTGAAAAATTTTAATTGTTTGGGCCTTAAAAACAGTCTCACCTCCAAGGCCATAATTTGAACACAAAATTTGAGGAAAATGACATGTGGAATCGCCATCTGGAGATTGGTACAGCAGCAGATCCTGCCATTTCTGAGAAATTGTCTGGGTTTGGAGTTACTCCCAGAACTCTGATTTAGCAGTTCCTAAGCTTATAGCAAGTCTGAAAGGAACACAAATCTGTTTTGTATATACAAATAAATCCTCGTATGCTGCATGCCATTCTCAGCCTGCCAGTTTCATCTGGGTGCTCCAGAAAATATAATTCAATAGCACATTAGTTAACCTGCATGCAGGGAATGGGGCATTCTGATTATTGAAATGTTCTGGTTGAGTGATTAACCTGATTTTTGCAGAAAAACTGCTGAGGCAAGGGATTTTCTGTCCAAAATGTTTGTGCCAGGGTACTTTTTTCTTCCAGATGATCACAGCTGCATTGCTTCATTCCTGCAACACTCAGAAATATATCTCTTTGCTAAAAACTTTCAAATATGCAATTGATACACTTTCAAAGGGACCTCATAAAAATAGATCAGTAATGGTATACAGATAATCTTAGAAGAAAGAACAAACTTAGAAGGAAACGTAGTATCTTTGCCCAAATTTTACACAGCCATAACCTTCAAGAGTTCCTAACAGCTTGAAAAATATTTTATTTTCTTTAGTAATAAATTCTTAAAATGCTTACTAGATGTTAGGCAGTGCTACAAGGGCTTTACGAATATTAATTGATTTAATTTTTACAACCACCTTAAAATTAGGTATCACATTATTATATTCATTCTAAAGATGAAGAAACTCAGGCACAGAGAGCTACGGATGGGCCAAAGTTGATCTACCTGAATGCTCATTGATACAAGCAGTTGTAGCATCAGTGGATGACTAAGTTTATGGGGACCTGGCTGAGTTAAGTGACTCCTACTTCCCGCACCCACCCCTTCCCAAATATTACATGAGTAATGTTGAGGGACTGTTACAGGGAGAAGGAGGCTCCAAAGTGCTGAAAGAGCACAGAAGTAACTGGGGAAATCAAAGTGGATTTCAGAGAAGAGCAGCTTCTGAGATCCAACATCAGAGATGAGTTAGAATTAAGGCAAAAAAAGGGAGGGAAAATTAAATATTATAGCTGTGAAACCATGTATCTGAAAGATTTTGATGAGTACTGTAATGGTTAAAAAGCCCTAGTGGTGAATAATGAATGACTTTGTGTGTGTTTGGGGAGGAGGGTAGAGAAAGAAGACGGTGAGTCTAAGTGAGATTTTAAAGATTAAAAGAGTTTCATTTTCAGACTTCCCAGCAAATAGTGGATATTTGATTACATATTTCATTTCATTGTATTTCACATCAAGTAATTTTTTTTGGCCAACTTTAACATTTAAGTAAAAGCCAATAAACAAATACTAGAAAAATCCATTTGCGCTTTCCAATGTATTTTTCCACAGAGTCTGGAAAACATTTTAAACTCTGGAATGGGATAAAGTAGGGAAAACTAAGACCAAATTTTTAAAAATGTTTTATTTGGTAAAAGTTTAAATAAACTCTTGTCAGAAGCTAAAATGTTTGCGCACTGCCAGAAAATTTCTTGGACCGGAAAAAAATAAAATAGAATGAAAACATTTAAAATGTGAAAAGTGGACAACTAACCAAAATAAATGCAAAGAGTTTTCTTTGCCCAGAGAGGTTTTATTGAATTGTTGTTGTTATTAGCTATAAAATCGGGTATAGGTTTTACATTGAAAATATTACTTCATGGTTACATTGCATTTATGAATTTCTAAGTTTGCATTTTTTCTTATTTTCATCTGTGCTAATTTAATAGCATGTTAATATACCTCATACAAACTTAGCCGAGGTGACTATAACTGTATTGTTAAAGCACATTTTTTTAGTGACCCAAAGGAGCATCTTCCTAACTGCACTTTTATCTTTTCTGGCAGATGACATTTGATCCAGAAATCTTCTTCAATGTTTTACTGCCACCAATTATATTTCACGCAGGATACAGCCTAAAGAAGGTAAATAACACAGTGATTATTTTCTTCTTTTACCATTAAGCAGAAAATTGTACCAGCACTAATGAAGAAACAATTATGAGCTTATTTAATTCATAAGGATATCATTATCTTAGATTAAATGATACAGATTCCAATCTGACACACTTAGAATTCTTCTAAATCTGCTCTGCTCTGCATTGGCCATTAGCCACATGCAGCCATTAAACCCTTGAAATGTGGCTAGTTTGAATGAAAACGTGCTTTAAGTGTAAAATATGCACTGGATTTCACAGACTTAGTATTTGAAAAGAATGTAAAATATCTCCATTATGTTTGATATGGATTTCATGTAGAAATGATAATATTTTGGATATATTGGGTTAAATAAGACATATATTACCAAAATTCATTTTGCTTTTTTTTTTAACTTACTTTAATTGGATACTAGAAAAATCTTAAATGCCATATGTGGCTAACATTATATTTCTATTGGATAATATTATTCTAGATAACTGTAACCAAAGAGTTAGCTATTAATTGGGATAGACACTGGGTTTATCAGTCAGGGTGAAAACTCAGCTACTTGCTAATACTCAGCTGTTGATGTTCATAGAAAGGAAGTCCAGTCTTGTAGCTTCTGTGCTCTTGCCTGACGTTATTTGGGTACCGCCTGAATGTGCGCTTTTCATAGCTTAGTAATTCCCTTAAGAGTTTAAGTGCTAGCATCTCCTGTGCCTCAGACTGAGGCTCGACTGTGTTTGAATTTTGAGATGCCGAGGTAGTATAGCTGCTTTTCTGCTGCCCATTCCCCACCCAGAGACTCCTGAGGCTCTCATCCCTTTGGCCTGTCAGCCCCAGCAGTCAAGGCGGCTTGTTCAGAACAGATCTGATTTTCTTGTGTACTCCAGGCTCCCTCTTGCTGTCAGTTCTAACTACTCAGCTCCCACTTAGAGAACTGGACGAGAGTTCTCCCAAGCCAGCATTTGAGAAGTCTTAGAAGGCTGGATTTCCTCAGGTCATCCTTCCTTATCCCTAGCCCTAATACTAGGCATCGTTTTGTGTGATTCACTAAAATAAATTGTTGTAGGTGATAAAGTTTTGTTTCATTACACTCAGAAGAAATATAAGTCAGAGAGCCAATGAGTCAAAAGGCAACTAAAATCTTTTAGAATAGTATTTTTAAAATGCTAAATGGGTTCCATTGACAACTAAATTTCTTTTTTTTTTTTTTAAAGATTTTATTTATTTATTTGAGAGAGAGAGAATGAGAGACAGAGAGCATGAGAGGGAGGAGGGTCAGAGGGAGAAGCAGACTCCCCGCCAAGCAGGGAGCCCGATGCGGGACTCGATCCCGGGACTCCAGGATCATGACCTGAGCCGAAGGCAGTCGCTTAACCGACTGAGCCACCCAGGCACCCGACAACTAAATTTCTTAAAAGCTTTGTCTTCTGTTAATCATTCCAGAGTCCTGCATGGACATTGCCCCAGTTCTTTACTTTCTCTCTCAGGTCCAGCCGGTTCTGGCAGTCATTCTCTCCTCTCTACCCTGTCATTTTCTGATGTATTTGTTCCCCCATTTCTCTGAGAAACCTCTGTCCTTTGCAGTATAAATAGGTTCAGCCTTATCTGTACAATAAGGCCAGGAACTAAGGCTCAAAAATAAAATTTGCCTACACAGTGGGGGAAGAGAGGGGCTGTGAAAGTGCATACATTTATTTTTATTTCCTGTTACAGTAAGAAAATATATGGATGTACTATATGAAATATTCTTTTCTCCCCAGAGACACTTTTTTCAAAACTTAGGATCTATTTTAACATATGCCTTCTTGGGAACTGCCATCTCCTGTATCGTCATAGGGTAAGTGACATTCAGAGCTCAAGTTCCAGGTGGCTGTGGGGCCAGTGATCTGTGGGAGGAATCTCACTTTTCCTGGACTCACACTGACTGGGTGATTTGTCTACCTTTTTCTGTATATTACATCTTTACACATTTCTTCTGACTCAATTCCAAGGTTTATATGTATCCTGACAAACATAAGCCTTCAAATCAAAGCAAACTGAAATTAGGTTGCTGGATTTTCTCTGTGAGTTTTGGACCTCTGACTTAGGGAATGTGGATAACTTGGCTTGAGTTATGAGAATCACATTGCATTCGCACCCCCCCCCCTTTTTTTTGCTTGAATAATGCAGGTAAACACACTACATTCTTTTTTCATCTTTTTTGCAGGACCCTACCTGTATTAGACAGGAGTACAATAGTAGCTACATGTCAAGGGTTTGCTCTCTAGGGAAGGTTTGTAAGAGGACAGTCTGAGACAGACATCTCCAAATATCAGCAGAGCTGTTTAATGCTGGGATGGCTTTTCAGTTGATATGCTATAGAATGCAGCCTTGTTTTTTTCTCACTATATTTTATTGGTTATGTTGCTAAGCCCCCAAGTCTAACTCTATAGACTCTGGCTTGCAGCTCACCACAAAGCAAAATATGATATAAAATGGTGAAGCCAATCCAATTCACTTATAATCCTATCCAATACATTAAATCTCCACTGCAGAAAACATGTTCAGCTGCTATGACTATGATGGTGTGGGTGTCTTAAATTGTCTGATACAGCCAACTCTACCCTTGAATTTTACTGCATACAGCTATTATAACCCTAATGTAAGAAACTGAAGCTAAAAACACATGCTAGTCACTTATCCAGCTCTTCCCTTACGAAGTATTTAGTGTGTGTCACTGGAAGACTAAGGAGGTATCATTACTTGGACCTGAAAGCAGGGTGGTGGGTTATGTTGAATTCTCTGTTAAATTTTTATTGCTTCAAGCCTAGAATGAGTCAGACTACATTATGAAAATGTCCAGCATGGTTAGGGCAGTGAGGAAGCTAAAGATTTTAGCACTTGAAGGTGGAGGCTTGCAGGGATATAGATTGAGGAGTCTCATTAAGTCTGGACACCTAAGAGGTGTTTAAACTGTGACTAAGAGGCAAACATGGATTTTATCCTTCTCAAAGCATGTTTAGAGGAGAGTTGTTCTATTCTGTTGGTATGCCATAACTAAATATTCAAATTTCAAAGCTGGCAAGGGCCTTCGAGATTTGTGTAATTAAAGCACCTTATTCTGAAGATGAAGAAAGTAACATCTTGAAACTCTAATCAGTTGTCTTAAGAAATATATATAAAGTAGAGCCATGGTCAGGACAAAATTCAGACTTTGACTCCTGACTTAGCAGGTCTTAACCATCATCCCCTCTTTCTTTAGCAATTTTTTGTACATTCCTCTACACCGTTCATACACATTGACAGACGGCTCTGAGATGTGTGGACTCTCAACAATGTTCATCAGTTTCTAGCAAATATTGATGGTTAGCAGTTCTATAATATGAGGATCTGAAATGTATAATGGATCTAAATTCTAAACTTATGGACAATGCTGTTAAATTATGTAATAGTCAGTTTTCATTATTACCCTGTTTCCTTTGTCTAACTGATTTTAAGTATACTTAAGTGTATGTATTTATACAATATGCTTTCATCATCATGAGAATTCTATAATCTATTTTTGAAGAAGAGCAACAATGTTGTGTGTGTGTGTGTGTGTATAATTGCCTTTTCTAAAAAAATTCAGTTCGGGAGATTTGGTAAAGTTCATTTACTGGAGTTGATAACCTCTTCTGATTCTAAGGCTGCAATCAATAATTTTTGATGGAAAGTGATTTGAATAAAAAGTATAGCCCTGGGAAAACTTTTAGAACCATGTGCTTTGTTTGAACTGGCATTATCTGAAAAACAAAAACTTGTAGGGTGCCTTCGTAATGTGGGTCATTAAAGTATAGAAGGGATAGGTAGTTTAAAGATTTTAAGGTCTTTTCCAGTAAAGTAAAGGAAACCATTAAAGAGCTTTAGCTTGATGGTGACAAGGTCAGATTTATACTTTGGGAAGGTCATTCTGGTTGTTGTGTGAAGGAGAAATTTTAAAGTGGGGAAAAGATGGCAGTCAGGGGACAATTTAAGAGGCAATTTCCATAAGCTAGGTTGGAATAATAAGGACCTGGCCTCAGAAAGTGGCAGTAAAGATGGATATGGAGTCATCAACATGTTAAAATCCTGAGAGATAATGGAGTAATCAAAGGTAAGTGTATGGAGTGAGAAGGAATTTACCTGGGCAACAGCACTATCTGAAGAAAGGGAAGAGATAACCACAAAGGACTAAGAAGTATTAGGTGCAAGATACAGGAAGAAAATAAGCAGGACATGTGTCTGGAAGTCAAAGGAAGAGGGAAAGGGAGGGTAGACGGTGTCTAACACAAGGAGGTCAAATGGGACAGGAATTGGAGTATCCGTTGGATTCAACCCCTTGGAGGTGATGGGTGACTTCACACTCGTCCTATGGGCAGAATAGAGTATTGGCAAGTCCAATTGTTTTGGGTCCTGTGGGATGAGAAACAAGAATTTATTTTTATGCTTTGATCTCCAGATACAATTTCAGAACTTCTGAAGGAAAGGCACAAACTTGAATTCAAGCCAAACTGACACTTACGCAAGTTAGTGACTCTCATTGTATGAGTCATTCAAACATACACTCAAACCCTAGAAAATGAGTGGTTATGCTTTCCTGATAAATTAATAGTAATAAAAACAACACGACAAACATTCATTGAGTGCTTTATATGAAGTATACCCTTTTTAAAAGTACATAGATTATCTAAGTCAATCCTCAAGATAATCCTATTAAGTAGATACTATTATTACCCTCATTTAACAGCTGAGACAGCTGAAGTTTAGAGAGAACACAGAGTAAGTAATAGAGCTGGCATTAGTAACTAAATAGTTTGGCTCCAGAGTCAAATTCTCAATGCCAAAAATGTGCTTTACTTCTATTTGTTATCATTACTAAAAAATAGAATGTAAAACATTAAACTAAAAAATAAAATTGAATAAATCAGTCAATATTCACTAGCATACCACATGTTTCTTCATTAGCCCCATAGGAGTTCTCACAGATATGAAAGATTTTTATTTGGGAATCCCATTCAAAAGGAATTCACATTTTTTTTTATTCTTATGTTAATCCCCATACATTACATCATTAATTTTAGATGAAGTGTTCCATGATTCATTGTTTGTGCATAACACCCAGCGCTCCATGCAGAATGTGCCCTCCTCAATACCCACCACCAGGCTAACTCA